CTGTTTTGCTTTGGAAAGTCCTTTTATTGCTTATTTGTGTAACATATGGATACTTGGAATTTAAGAGTATTTTCATAGAATAGTGTTCTAATAGCCAGAAAAAAAAACCTGAACAAACAAACATGTAAGGCAGATCAGTAATCAAACTTCAAGATACTCCTTTAAAATGCTAAGTTAAGAATGTCTGAGAATATGTTGTATTGCCTTCAAACTGAATACGAATAAATCATGTCTGTCCTCCATGGCAAGCAGTACAAACTCTCCTCAAGGAGGGTCCTTCACTGCCGTGCACTGGGGAGGTTCACAGAGGTGAAGAGGAACCAGACTAATAAGGTCAAATATGTTTATTTCCCTTTAAACAAAGAAGTGCACAGCTGTAGCGATGGCCCATATAGCTGGCTCGGTTTAAAATCTATAACCTTGGTTGGCCTATTCTTAACAATTTATTTGAAATGTCAGTTGGGGACATTTCAATGGATAGCAAGCATTTGAAAAGAGAGGTTTCGTTATGCACACCAAAGGGCTATCCCACCCTCTCTTTCCATAGGGCAGGCTCTCCAGAGTTGGCAAGGGCTGGTGTAAAACACAGACCTCCTAACTTGCCAGACTGAGTCCCTTCACTCAGGAAAGCATCGCAGGAACGAAGACACACAGGAATCCATACAACTTTCCTATGCCAAAACTGAGTCAGTCCTTTGACTGAATTACTAGGAAGACCTGCTCAAAAACAATTAGCAGTTTATTTCACATTACATTTTGTTATTATTGTTGAAGATAGTATTCTGGGTTTTATGTAGTCTGAATGTTTTGGTTTGATTTGCCCTAATGGGTAGAGATGGTAATTAATGCTGCAGCTTTCTGTCCGTAAGCTGTTAAGCCATAACCAAGGAGAGCCTTAACAGAGAAATGACAAGTACATGTGATGAGGGGCTGCTGGATTAGCCAAGGAGAGTGGCATGCTGATTACATTACTGCGCAATTACAGGGTCCTGCGTAGGCAGATGGACCTTTGGGACCCTTTTCCCAGGACTGGAACATTAATGGTATTTATAATACACCAATATATCCTGCAAAAGATCATAGACATCAGTTCTAGCACCTTCTTGTAAAAGGAGAATCAATTATTTTATTTCTTCTCTGTGAAATGGTTCCAGCATCCTTTTGAAGTGCTTTTGTTACATATCGCAGCTGAGGTGTTCACAAGTCTTACATGACTCTTAGCAAGGATTGCAAGAGAGGAGAATGTGACTGACTGTATTCCTATTGACCCCTTTTGCCCCTGGGCAGTTAGCCAGAATTTAAGGCCATTGCAGGTTGCGTTCATGAGGAAGGAAAATTAGCAATAAAGGAGATTTTTTCCTCAGGTGCTCTCCTGAAGATCTGCAAAGAACTTTCCTCAGCTTGTATGTTCATCAGTGCAGTGAGAACAAGTAGCAAAAGGCAGCCTCCTTGCTCACAGATCGAGTTTCTTGCCAGGCTGTAGTCTGCCAAAAATCGGTTCATTCTTGGCTGTCCTCCCAGAGCCACAACAGAGCTGCTTTCTTAGGTGGTTACCTGGCTTTGGGGGCTTTCCTGGTAACTGTATCACGCTTTCCCTTCCTACATAGCCACCAACCTGCGCAGTACAATGCTGTCCGTCTCCAGGCTCTCAAAAAGAGGAGCATTTGTTTATTCCTTTGTTTAGGAGACAGGCACACCAGCCTGATCAATGGTTACTGGGCTGCACTAGAAAGGACCAGCTATTTCCTCTCAGCCTGCTCTGCTCATGAATTAAAACCCACTAGCTTCAGTCGTCTGCACACCCATAGACTGAGAGCTCATGACATTTTACTCTCCTTCATAGTGTGAAGGTGCTGTGATAATCCTTTGAGTCCTGGATTTGACTGTGCTGCATATTGTACAAGACACAACAAGGACAGAGCCTCTGCCTCAAAGAACTTGCAACAAAACATATTGGACTTCAGCAGAAGACAAAACCCCTAGACATGTTTTTTATCTCAAAGTTAACAATCAGTCAGTTATCAAGCATGGAAGTGGTGGAAGATTTGCTTCTGTATCATCTTGCAGTTTTATTTTACTTGTTTCTGTAAGAATAAATACTTCATTAAACATGTACACTGAGATGTTGGTTACATTTGTCGTGTTTTATTTGTACTGCGCATGAATCCAGTTCTCGTCAGTAACAGGTTCTTCTCTTTTACCTGCTCTGACCTAAGAAAAACACTCTCTTTTTATTGTAGGAAAATATTTCCACTGCATCACTTAGCCACAGATGAAACATGCTGCATTTGTTAGCTCGTCCAAAGCAAAGACTGATTTTTGCTGTACTTTGATTAATAATAATTTAACGTAATTCATCTCAATGCATTGTTGCGCCTAAACTCTTTATGCTAAATTTTTCAGATTCGTTCTCAAATTAATGTGATATGAATCTAATTACTAATCAGACCCATCCTTTATGGTTTGCTCATGGTATTCTTACTTCTTTAACTTACTGCATAAGAAATTATTAAATTTCTTAAAAGAGTTATGAGCTGTCTGCATGGCCATTATCTAAAAGATAGGTATATGATTTCATTTTTAAAGCCACAAGTAATAGTTCACATGGAGGGTACAGGAAAGAAAAAAATGAAGTTTAGTTATGTAGTTCTCAGGCAGTGTGCTTTCTATGTGTGCCTTTGAGCTACAGATAAAAGTTCCAGCGAAGACTGACTTAGGTCAAATGGAAGGTGTGTTTGGTTGGTTGGTCCCTGCTCAGAGGGTCGGTGAGCGGTGCATACAGCTGGCAAAGAGAAGCAAGGATACTCTGTAGTCTTTCAGTTCGGCAATATGAAATGGTGAAAGCATTAAATTAAAATGACAGGCTTGAGAACGTACCGTGGATTTTGTTGCAGAACTCACTGGCCATGCTCTGCTCCTCTCCAGCTGCTGGGCTGCAGCAGGAGACCATTCCCAGAGTCGCGGTGGATGGATGGAAAGCTGGGGTGACGTCGGCACTGACAGGAGCACGACCAGCCTGCATGCAACATGCAGGCACCCCGAGCCACTCCCACTGGAGCCACTGGGGAAATGACGCCTCAAGCTCTCAGGTCGACCCCCTGACCTGCATCTCTTCTGAGGAGATCCCCACAGGGGAGCATGGGGCTCACCTAGCCCAAGCCTGTGATGGGACGGATTTTATCAAACCTGTCTGGAAAACTGCTCTGATGGCTCAGAAAGTTTGCTGACTTTTTAGAGGCTGGGGTAGCTGGCTGATGTCAGGGAGGGTGCTACCTGAATGTGTGTGCAGCCTTTGGGAAGCACCTGTCAGTCAAGGCAGCCCTTGTGGGGATGGGTAATTGATAAGGGGAGAATGGAGAAAGGCCAGCCGCCAGCCGGGAGGCTGCATCGAGCACAGGCGAGGGAACAAGGCAAGAAACATATTGACCCAGACCTGTGAAAAACAGTCCAAGGATGATTTAAGAACCTTAATGAACACATTTTCCAACAGAATAAGGAGCAAATACTTCTTCCTGTTTTTTTTTTTTAACCTTTTCAAACCACTATACAACCTTTTTTCGGCATACTTTGTAAGAATTGACGCGGTGTGGAAAAAAGATGTGACTCTCTGCTCTGCCCTGTGTGGTGAGCAGAAAAAAATGAAACTCCAAAAATAAAAATCAGTCCTTCAGGTTAATCCTGTCAGAATCCTATATCCTAACCTATCAATAATCCTGTATTTTCATGAGTACCAAGCTGCACTTTAAATATTGAAAAAGAACTAAATGCACATGTTTGGGTAATTGCTTTGGGAATGTTTCTCAGCAACAGAAGGTGGTTCACTGGATGGCTAACAAGCTTTTCTAGTCGAGAGGGACAGTCTGAATCCCCCGGATGGACAGAGAATGTGCAGTCCTCTACCTGCTGAACTGCCCAAATGTCTCTTTAAAGAGACAAATAAATCCTAAAAGACATCTCTTACAGCCCAGGTAGTCATCTTGGAAAACTTCTGCAGAAGTTAAGGGCAAGTATTTTCCTGTGGCCGCAGATGATGACTGTCACTTTGCCATTGCTGGCAAAGTGACCTCAGATTTCTGAAGGAGCACATGGTGCTCCCCCAGGAACAGTGGGTTTCTGCCAGCACAGCAATGCCCTCCCACTCCTCCTGGCCCTCCTGGGTGCTGGTGGCATGGAAGCTTATGTGGAGGACCTCATTGCCCTCTCTGAGGAGGCGGATGGACATGAGATACTCTCAGAAGAGGAACAGCATTGTCCCACACCAGCTGGCTCTCCGGTAGTGGACAGGACACAATTCTCTCCACCGTCTGCCCACCACTTCCCAGCATCTCAAAGCCACAGTCTCTTGTCAAGGTCCATGTCTGCAACCTCATCTGAACCACAGGCAGCAGCCACTTCCCAGCTTCACTGGCTCCATTTAGCTCCATGTGTCGCTTTGTTATTTGGACAAAATAAAGTAAAGCTGTCTTCTCGCAAAGAGATGAAGCTAGTATCCCTGGTACACTACCAAAAAAATCTTCCCTGCTAACAGCGCTTGCCCTTCCCGAGTGAGTTCAGAGCTAGGTTCAGTTTATAGAGGGAGTGACTCTGGCTCAGATGGGAGAGCTGAACAAACCTTAGAAATGTTTTATCAAAAGTAAAAGAAATCACCCAAACTGGAGCTCAAAGCTACTGTCTTCACAGCCTTTCTTGTACATCTGAAACAAGTTGCTTGTTTCAGTTCTAAAAAATATCAAATTTTGAAGGGGATTTTTTTGTTATGTGGTATTTTGTGGAGTGCTGTTATCATACATTTTTGCTATTTTGTGAGTGCTGTTTGTTCCATTCATCTAATTTATAAAAGCCTAAAATCCCTGTTACTGATAGGTGCTGAATAAACCCAGCAAGGGCTGGGGATTTTTGTTCCACTCTGCTTTCTTATAGCCTAGCAGTAACATTTGACTTTGTCTGCTTAAATGCAAAATGCCGGTCAAGTGTGTGACATTATCTCATTTGTCTAACAGGTAAGCTGCAAAGTGCTGCAATTCTTTCATCAGTACATGTTGGGCTGCAACTACTTCTGGATGCTCTGCGAAGGCATTTATCTTCACACACTGATTGTGGTGGCAGTGTTTGCTGAAGAGCAGCGTTTGCACTGGTATTACCTCTTGGGCTGGGGTATGTATGTTATAATTTGTAGCAAGATGGTCAATTCTTTCAGATGTTTGAATTCTTCTAGCACTTATACACCTGAATTGTTGTATTTATACCACTAGATCATAGCTTAAGATTGAGTTCTTGGGTCCTAAATTTGAGTACGTTTATTTGGATGGGCCTAGAGACTTACAAAAATCAGCAGG